GCGGCATTATCGACCGATGGCGTACTGTCTGATTGCATACTTTGAGGTATCCTGGTAAAAACCTTATTATTAGTCCACGTTCGGATTCAGTCCGAAAGCGGGGACTTGTGTTTGATATTTTTACGTCCGTGTATCCGTATGTCCATGCGTGCGTGCGTGCGTCCGGACCTGTATCTTAGACATGCCTGGATAAATCACAATCAAACTTCAGATATACGTCATAAATATTATACATATGCAGATCAATTTACGATCTTATTTAAGATGGCCCAATGGTGGCCATTTTTGTGTTAAAAAATCATCAAAATCAAGCATTGATACACATAATTTTATTTGTCATATCCAATTTAAAATGGCCACTAGCGGTCATTTTGTTTTAATGGTTTGACTCTTCAAAATGGCAAAATCGCAGCCACTTTTGGGCTAAAAAATCAAGCATTTCTGGCATTCCAGACTTGATCTTGGCGTTTATGGGTGGAGTTTGATCAAGAGATTACGGGTTCCTGATGCACGTAATTCTATGTTTTCAGATCGGATTGAAAATAGCTGACTGGCGATCATTCTGTTTAAATGAATGCGCTTCTAGAGCCATATCTATGATATGCTTTGATTTATTATGTTCAAATTTTATATATTCGATTTACATCATGTTATAGATATTCAAAATGGGCTACTGGTGGCCATTTTGTTTTAATAAATGCTGTTCCAGAGCAATATTTCTCAATTTAGACAAGTACTCGTTTGACGATCATATACAAGATATAAATCATTTTAATGTTAAAAAATCATTATAATCAAGCATTATCTTCTGGACCCATACTTCTGCCGAAATCCAAAAAGTTTAGAGCAGAAACAGCGAACTTCTTTATGTGGAGTCCGATCCAACCCTGGTGGCGGCCATATTTGTTTTTATTATTAGAAGATGCTTACGCGCGTAGTCATTCAATATTCGAATCGACACGCTGTAACTTATGGCGTTACGGTGACAGATGTATAATAATAGGAATTAACATGAACATTATTATAAAACTAATTGTTTATTTATTTATTTCACATACTGGCTCTTGCGATTTGACATCCTGTTTCACATACAGTGTTCTCTGAATCAATATTTTTTCACAAGACCTTGCAGAGTAAAAATTTAAATAATAATTGTTCATTCTATTTATGTCTTCTATTGAAACCAGGCAATTTTTACGATATCTTTTTGCAAACATATACTGGTTTACAACATATGTTGATTTGAGAAGATTAATTGGAGAGACTTTGATTCCAAACAATGGAAGTCTTAATTATCATATTAAACTGGCCATATTCAATATAAATACTGAAAACCTGAAGCACTAAGCCTGAAATATGCGTGGTTATTCCACCAGGAACATCATTTGTAACGAATTACGTTTCGCCCACTAGAAATCGCGAAAAATTGGCTAATTTATACTAGGAACGAACATCACACATGGTGGGTTGCCATGGTACGGTATTTTTTAACATTTAGATTCAAATATTTATTTTTATGGATACAAAATTAGGACAAGGTTTCATTATATCATATGTATATTGTATGGTCCAAATATTTTGCGTTGTCTGATTTCAGTCAAACTTGGGTATTTGAAATGGTGCGTTAAAATAAATGTTTCTTTCATAATTTGTGATGAATAATTATGGTGATTCTGAAAGAATTACATTTTTACCCGAGTGAACTAAAGTTTGGTTAGGCACTCGCTTAGTTGCCGTAAAGATGGGCGAAAGTTACACTTGAATCTATTTGATGTAGTTATTGTAACACAGAACAGACGACCAACAAATTATATACTTTCAAAAGCAAGATGGTGAAGTACAGCTGTAATAAGCCACATAAATGTACTCAGTACTAGTATGTATTTTGTAGCTTTGCAGATTACTACAACATCTCCATTAGCAATTTTCCCAATATTGTAACTAATGTGTCATCAATCAAATCATGTGACAGCACAAGACGTTTGCCACATCTATAAGCTTTCAGCTTGTGGGTTATTTATATAAACGTTTCGTTAATATTCAATTTATGTCTGTTCAGTGATTATTGAACTTCAAAATTCCATATTTTGTAGGTTGCTAGAGTAAAACACATATTTAAACTAGAAACTAGTCAGATCATCTAATTTCAGTAGTGCAAAAATGATACAACTGAATTTATCTGCTGTAGTTATTGTATTATGTAACTCGTATTTTTTCATTACAAAAGGTTATTCATGTGTAGCGACCACCTAGGAAAGTCTAGTATGGTAATATTCAACTAATACTCATCTTAGAATGTAGAAATTATAACTCCCACTTGCTTAAATTGATCTCCGACTCGCAGTTGTGCTGCTGCACTTATTATTTTATTAGTATTTTTCATACCACAACATATATATTGATTTCTACGAAGTGACGACGACTTTTCATTACAAAGGGTATTCACCTTTAGAGGCCACCTAGAGAAGTCTGGGTTGGTTCGACATATATCTATTGTGGAAATAATCCCTGGACTAACATAAATAGTTGTCAGATTCGCAATTGCTACACTATTACAAATCATTCGCTCTATGTACAGAGCTGTCTACAATATTGGTTTATGTGACAGGTGCGTGTATAGGTATATGAGTGACCCAAGTGTAATTATTTAACGAGCAAATAAGCGACCAATAAACTTGTTCATGTTCTCAGTCACGTCTTGTTTCTAGAGATGTGCGGTAGTCAGGTGAATTGTGTTCTTCGTTCTAACAATATTTTCTTTGCTGAAATCTACCCGTTTATTTGTATAAATTATAGTACTGTACATATAACGCTCGACAGGAATACAATGTTTCACCGTGAAACGCAATTCAATCAGTCATCGAAGAATTAGGTATTGAAGTCACTATAACTCGGATTTTGGTGTTGTTATGCACGACGGAGAGTCATGTAACAATGTCAAAATTTCTGTGTTCAGTATGGTTAGTAGGACATGTTAGCTACTTAATATCTCTCTTGATGCGTAGAGCCGAGAATAGTTACTGATGACGTTGTATAGTTTCAAAATTCTTAAGCCGCTCGCAAAGATTGACTTATAGTATTAGGAGCTGCTGCACTTGTTACTTTGGCGTCCATCTTAGTATGATAGAGTGTGTACAGTTTTCTGAACAGAGTGGAAATCAATGCCGAAAATATGTACTTTAAAAAGGTCTTATTACCATATTTTATGTTATTATTTCTTTATTTCTTTATTCATTAATTACCGACAAGGACTCAGTATCTCTTACTAACAATTATACATTTGAGTTTAAATATTTTTTCCAACAACAATTACTCAGCATATTAATGAATAACGCGGATCGATCAAAATAGATATTGTTGAGTCAGTGGAGCAATGAGTCAACTTCGTCGTGCTGAGAATCTAGTTAAAGATACCTAATAGAGAAAAAACCTTTGACGACAGGCGGGATGATGACACCATTTCCGGCTCAACCATATCTTCTGGACCAACAATACCACCGACACCCCCAACTCCCAGGTAATTAACTGTTACAGAACTATGCCCTTCATAGTACCAGCAGTCGTCATACGGCAACACATTGAAAATGGATGAAACTTTGCGAGACTACATCGATCGTTGTATGAAAGACAGTGTGGAAGAAATAGAAGCTAAATACGATGTGCAGGTGGTATTCAAAGTCAACACGCACGTCAGTTTCCTTGATGAACAAAAGGCTTGGGATACACAGAACGTGATGAGAGCTATTGCGACGTTTAAGAAACTATACAGGGACATCAAAGCAAAAACACCAGAGAATATAAAAGATAGAGGGTTTGTTTTTTCAAAGCAGGACTGTGAGATGAAATATTGAAGTGTCATGGTGAACAAGGGTAAACCAGGCTATGCCACATTTCATGGAATTAACAAAAACGAAAAACGAAATTATTTGCAGCAAGGTGGGGAACACATATCAAAGCCTTTGATGAGCATAAGAAAACAGTTCCGAGGAAAGTTGCCAAGGTAGCAACAGAACACACACCACCCCCTCCACCTGAGCTGAAAGACCCAATAAATGAATTACGAGAGGAAACACCCAAGGGAAAGATAATGCATTCTGGTGATGATAATTTCAGGCGTTCCTATATTCTTGACAGCCGGGAAATCCAAATTTGAATATACGACGGGAATATCCTAGATGAGACAGTGAACGCTATAGTTTGTCTTGTAAATGAACAAATGAAACCAAGTTGTGATATAGCTGTGGCTGTCGTCAAAGAAGCTGGACCCGATGTATAAAAGGAAATTGACGCATATTCTAAGAAACACGGTCAATTGACGACATCACATGTTACTGCTACGTCAGCAGGAAAATTACCCACGACTCTGATTTTGCACGCAGTTTGTCCACGTTGATCTGAGGCTAACCCTGAATGGAGTAGTAATTTCCTGTCGGATACCTATAAAAATATACTAGAAACCACACACAAATACGCTGCTATTTCCATAGCAATTCCTCCACTTGGTACAGGTAAGGTATTTAATAAATACTAGGGTGTCCGGGGCATACTCTAGAGCCTCGAAACGCTATTCCTAGCATTTTGAGGGGCAAATTGTGTTGACCATTCTAATGTAATGAATGAAATGTGATATAAAGTAATGATAGGGCTACTAAGGTAACGGTTAATAGTGAATTCGATATTTATTTATTTATTTATTTATTTATTTATTTATTTATTTATTTATTTATTTATTTATTTATTTATTTATTTATTTATTTATTTATTTATTTATTTATTTATTTGCTAACTCAACTCACTCATTTATTTTGTCTATTTGTATATTTTTTCCTATTTTTGTTTATTTTTTGTTCAAACTTATTATTTCCCACAGGACTGTTGGCGTACACTTAGCGTACATTCTTACAAAGGTGTCGACCCAGTCATGCGAGCAGAAATAGACAAGCAAATAGACTGCAACTGCAATCTAAGAACATTGACATTATTCACAGGAGAAAAAGGACATGCTTGACAACTACCGAGCAGGTGGAAGTAAATCATCATCCTCTGATAAAAGTACAAAAGAGGATATATCTGCAAATTCTGCTGCTGCTGATGATGGTGATGAGAAAGAAAAAGACAAAGGTGAAAACAAAGGATCAGATGCGGATAATGAAACGGCTCAAGGGGAAGCGGATGGTGGTGATAAGGAAAGTAAGGGCGGCCGAGACAAAAGTGGGCGGCCAAAGGGACACTCGTAGAAGAAAACCGAGGATGTTGATAAATCAAAAGAAAAGGAAAAGGATGACGGTAAGACATGTAAAGGATGCAAAGAAACATTTCAAGATCCTATCGAGTTACCAACGTGCAAACATAAATTATGCCGTGAATGCATGGTAAAAGTTCGTGGTGAGCTGAAATGCCTGATTTATGAGAAGGAGTACAAACCTACTCAAGGTAAACAATCCAAGGGGAAAATGACGTCATCCATAGATAAGACTATTCACATTCCAGAATATGATAAATTTACAACAACTGTTATCAAATATACATTTAACGAAGGCATACGGGCGGTAAGTTGATCACTCATCTTGAATCAAGCATTGAATGCATGATTTGATAGGGATTGGGAGGGTTCTTTGTTACAACCGAGGCAGAATAAACGTGTATATCGAGTGTCCACCGCATTATGGAATACACATGTAATCAATACTCGTCTTCGTGTTTCTAATGTTAAGAAATGGCCACGTTTATCTGCTCATGGTTGGAATATTGGGCATCTTGTTACAACGCATATGGCTTTCATCTGTGTGTACAGGTGAATATTAGTTTTGCCACAAGTTTATTTTTATTATTAACAGGAATGTCATCCCCATCCCGGAATGAAATATAAAGGCGAGTTATTCACAGCCTATCTGCCGAACAATAAAGAAGGATCGCAATTATTAAACTTACTGAAGAAAGCATTCGATAAAGGTTTGTTATTTGGAATCGCTCCACGAGAGATACTGGATACTATTGATTGGAAAGATATTGATCACAAAACAAGTGTTACCGGTGGTCCAGAAATGTAGGTATCCATATAATAAGGGGGCGGACCATTTGATATCTTGGGGGGGGGCAGGAAGATTGAAATGAAGCCTATTTTTTCCCCTATCTGATATGGAATTATTTTTTTTCCAGCAGACCTTGTCTCTGATTTTTTTGCACTCAACAGTTTTTTTTATTTTTTCAGTATTTTAAAGCGGGAGGGTAGTCACCTGCGCACTCGCGGGAATTGAGTCCCAAGCGACGATAAAAACACACGCTAAAAACGCAAAGGCTAATGGGTAGGCAGCAACCAATAGACCACATCATGATAACACAAAAAAAAATCGACAAAGGTCGTGGCATCTCAATCATGCATACAACTGACTAAATATATGAAAGCCTTCGTCAACTAATCAACAAGCAATACTATACTAAAATCAGTGGTAACGATACTATAGTTACAACTAATTTCGTCCATGAGCTCGTTACAGAAATGTACAATCTTGAATTAATCAATTACGACACGTATAAATATACAGACCCATTTAACAG